ATAGGTCCAATTTTTCTATTCGTAGCTTAAACACACTCAAGTAAATGGATATCCATATCCAACCCATACGCTGATACCCATTTAGATTATGAAAACAATATCCATACCTAACCCAAACCCATCTACAAACTCTCAAACCCAAGTACAACTCACCCATACCCATAATGAATGGGTCTACTTGGGTTTGGACAAAATTACCCATGGATGGGTAAATCACTAAATTGCCATCCCTACACTATGAGCTTATTTTTGTATGAAATAAAATTTATCTTTTCATAAAAGAGCTAATATTTGATTCATGAATTAGAAAAATAACCGAAATGATAATTTGACGACAAAGAATGATTTTTTAAGTAATCAATTAAGGAATCTAAAGTGTTGTTAATTATGCCTAGCGAATAGTTTTGGTATGTAGTTTCACAAAAAAAAAAAAAAAAAAAAAAATTGGTATGTAGAGATAAATATAAAAAAAATAGGGTTGTGTAAGGAAATGGAGGAGAATAGTGATTGGAAATCTTGAAGGGGAAGATGTGGGAATTTCTTGGCAACAAATCATTGAGTGACACAAAAGCATATGAGTGGGGGCCAATCGATGACATTTGGGTGGGCGTTGGAGACTTTTGCTTCACTTCTTTACTACTTGTAGCCACAACACCAAAAAGTAGCTGAACATAAATAAACAACAGATGAAAAGGGAGTAGTAGCTTTGCTACCAATTGTTTATGTTATCCTCTGGGTGGTATTGGTATTATAGATGTTATGTTAGTGTACAGAATACAATGGAAGATCCCTTTAGGGTAAAGGCCCCTCTATGTGCCTTAGCTTGCCGATTATGAAGTTCGCAGCAAACAGGCTTAGCACAGCAGGGATCGAGTCCATCACAAATATATGCTTAACTTATCGGCACGCAAAAGCACTCCTCCATCTATTCTATGCTACTGCTCTTGTTGCTCGATGAAGAATGATAAGATATATAGTACCAAGGGAAAGCTGCCCGTATTGTTTAAGTAATAGCTCTCTGTTGCTATGGCATGAAACTGTAAATATAAATCATAATAGCATGGATCTTAGAATTAGATGATTTCACGAATCGATAATAGATCGATGAAACATTTCTCGATCCATGACGAGAGCGGCGGCAGTAGCTTGAGTAGTAATCCTAAGAAATTCTACGTAATGGGTTGAGAGAGGACCAATCATAGGACTTCTTTATACAGACCCACCATCAAGGTATATTAGGAATTTACCTTTCATTAACCTAATCAATATAGGATTTACCTTATATATTAAACCATTAAGTTATAATTACACTTGAGCCACAGGTATTCCCTTGTGACCTACGAGAATGGGCTTATAGAAACCAGATTATTTACTATCGACTAGAAGTTATAGGGTCTCACTGGTTCGGGATTTTGGGAGCAGTGGTCCCGACACATGGTGTATGAGCTTATACACGTTTGTTTTACTGTTTTGGGTCTTGTTTGTAACCTTTTTCTTTTTCGGTTTGGATTAGATTCGGCCGTCTAAAGAAAGTACTATATATACCTTTTCAATTTTAGTAATATGTATCTTCTCAAACTATAGTGAAACTGCTATATCATGTTTGTGGATGTAACTAGCTAACACACATCATAGTAATAAATCACACAAATCTGTGTATTCTTTACTTTCTTTGATTTCACACTTCTCGTTCTAACACGCTCCGTTTAGCATTTTAATCATAGTGCCCTAATCCTAGATCCAAAAGACACCTCGAACTCTCCCATTTTCAGCAGCATGATTCATAGGTAAGTCATAAAGCAAAGGTTTTATCAACCAACGACCATGTAATATGTTACTGTCGACGAATATCTCTGCAGTCACCGATGTTTTGAGTTGGATTTTTACAAGAAAAATCTACGTTTTTTATTAGATCAGAGTATTTAATTTATATTAGCCAGAGGCAGTAACAAAACGTAGGCAACATTTGCACCCAACCTAAACAGAGCAAAACTCTGGTGATAAAGAGATAATAATATAGGCAACACCAACAAAGCCGTGTTTTGTAAATCATACCAATGATTTGATGAGGAAAAATATCATATCGGAGTCCAAATCGGTATAGGATTATACCGATATTACACAGAACCACGGTTGAACCATAAAATATTTTAATATTGACTTATGTCATACAACCTTTGGTACGATTTTATAATTATTGCTACAAAACACAAACTCAACAAAAGGCCACAAAGGAATAGGAGAAGCAAACATAAATGAAGGTCATATTATCCCCTTGCGCGTACGTCCTCTGAAAAGAAAGTTAATCAATAAAATTTGTAGAGACATGCAATATACCTTGTAGTGAAATCTACTACTAATATTGATGGTGACGAAGATTTGAATGTCAAAAACTTTGATATAATATTAAAAATCAATTAATCATAATAACCGAAGATGATTCAAAAATAAATTGAAATTAAAGTTGTGACTGGTCACTTAATGGTTGTATATAGTTTAGTGTAAAATATTGGAGATTATCATTGGCTATCATTACAACTTTCCAAATGAAATGAGAGGCAGTTCACTAATTCAACCAATTAGAGAGCGTGGACGTGGCATTCTTTATTTGGAAACTTAGCTGTCACAAAGTACAGGAGAGGTGGGGGCAAGAGCGGATTGGCGGAGGGAGTGGGGCCCAATAAGCACAAGACAAGAGGCCTGCGGGAAGTTGGAATGATCGTTGGGTTTGGGCTCGACGGCCGGTTGTCGGGTCGCCGGCCGCCACTTACGAGCAGCTCACAATCACCACCAGTCCACCACATTGCATCATTTCGCCCCCGTTCTCTGTGGCTGTGGGTCCCACTCTCCACTACCGGTGCCGGCAGTCCACTCCTCCGTCATTTTTTACCAACGGCAAAAACACGAGGTCTGGAATGAACAGATGTTGAAAATTTCTGCGAGAGTTTTGTATTATCGGGAAGTATTTTTGGTCTTATAATTTTCAGCGAGCATATACTGGACTATTGGCTTTGAAGGCGAGCCGCCACACATGAGTGAGATAGTCCCGGTTTTAGTTTTGTTCTTCAAAACCATATATATGGTACCACGAGGACTTCTACTATGCTTTATAGTATTGGTGCTTTAATGTACAACTTAAAATTGTACCATAACATTAAATGTATAAGTTTAGGTTGTACCATAAAGCAGTTTGTACCATTATGTTATGGTATAACTTGAAGTTGTACCATCACATAAAGGTACAAGTTCAAATTGTACCATAAAAGAATTTGTACAAAAAGTATAGGTATAATATGAAGTTGTACCATAACGTGAATGTACAATTTTAAGTTGTACCATAAAGGCAAAACCCTATAGCACCAATACTATATAGCATTGTAAAATTTCTCATGGTACTACCATATGCATGTGCAATAGTATTCTATGCTGAATCCGTTTAATTTTAAAGTTTTTATAAGAACTTCTTTATTTCATTCTAAAATATGTCTTATTATTTTATACCGAATATTTTTTTATGAATTATAGATTTCTCTCGTAATTTGTCAATGTTGAATTTAACTAAGATGTCACTGTAATTAAACAAAAATATCAAGGAAAAAAATGTAGAATTGGAAAAATATCGAAAAAGGATGGCTTTGGTTTGTTGGGCGATTGCTGAATGGTGAATTTGGAGAGGTGTCGCTGTCCTTTTAACTTGGACGGTTGGCCGGGGTCCCAGCTGGGTTTGTCAAAAGTTCTTTTTTTTAAGGGCAATGTCTATTTTTTATCCAAATCTTTTTTAGATTCTTTTATTTTAACCAAACCTATAGAAATTCTATTTATTATCCAAACGTATTATAATTTATCAAAGTCTGGGTATTCATTATGTTACCGTTACTTATTTCGTCCACGTGAGGGGTGAGATTTTGTTTTGTTTTTTGATAATCTTTTTATTAAAAATAGTAAATGATGGTATTCTGACCGCCATGTAGGAAATCAACTCATTATGGTCATACTTAGTCAGCATTACTAACAAAAAAATTGACGGAGAGTTAACGTTTGGATAATTTTTAGAAATTCTATAGGTTTGGTTAAAATAAAAGAATCTGAAAAAGGTTTGGGTAAAAAATAGACATTGCCCTTTTTTTAATAAGGTTTGTGAAAAGTTCTATGCCAACATTCAAATATAAAAAATATTTTTATTTATACGAAAAATAAAATACAATATTTTTATGAGTTAAATAATTGAAACTTTTGCAGACCGACCAACCAGAGGTCGCGTGCATAGATGTGTTCAGGAGGGAGATTGAAATATCAATTTAGTTTTTCTCCTTTTTTTATTAATATTATTATTCCCGTTTTTTGTTTTCTTACTAAACCTTAAACATTTAAAACTATTAATTTGTGTGTCAATTTTATAATTTTCACTTTTCTAAATAATAATATTTTTAGAACCAGCACTTTTAAGGAGCTAAAAAGAACACTAAGACCAGCACTTTACATTGTCGCCGTGTCCCATTGTTTTCTCCTAATCTATATTTTCATTCTCGATTTGGTTGGTTTTTTTAATATAAAAACACTTAATTGTTTTTGGAAAAGGTTCTATACTACTGCATTTTAGCTTTATATGACAGTCCTCCTGCGTAGTGTGAGAGAACAATAGCGAGAGTAAGAGTTAAATGCATATGTGGCCCCTAAACTATAAGGTGTTTTCTATTGAAGTCCCTGAACAATTATTTTTCCTATGGTAGCCCCTGATTCATCAAAATTTTCCTAACGAAATCCCTACTGTTACCAGGCCGTTAAAGTTCCGTTAAATTGGGTCATTAGCTGCTGATTTGGCGCTAACTAAGCACCCAGTCAGCATAAAAATCCCCTAAGTGACCATTTTACCCCCAAATTAATTTAACACACGTCTATTACAAAAAAAAAAAAAAAAATACCCATAACTCCCATGAACGTTCCATCTTCTGGTTTCGCTATCATACATATCAAACCCTATTTCTTTTATTTCCATAGAGGGTTGCAGCCGCCAAGCTCCAACGGTGGTGAGACAGCTTCAACAACGCCGGTGCAGCGAGTTCCATGACAACTTGACGATTTCGGACAACGACGTCCAGGTGCGAACACATAGAATTGCGGCTAGCAATAGTCGCCGATCGGGATCATTGACGGCGATCAGTGGAATTCATAGGCTTGTTCATTTGAGATGGAAAAAGGGAACGAGAATATGGGAAAGGGAAAACATGGGATTGAGAATGGTAGAGATGAAGAGGCTACTGGGGGCTTTGAAGAAGTGAATGGAGAAGAAGGTAAGCTAGTTGCAGTTTCTTCAGTGTTTGCTTTTATATATTCAATAATTCTGGTTTTGTTTTACTCCTCTTTGTTGAATGCAGCTACTGAAAATTGTGAGGATAGAAGTGTCGAGAGAGATGAGTTTGCTGATTATAGCGAAGAAGAAGAGGAAAAAGAAGGTGAGTGAGTCGACTAAATCTAGCTATATAGTTTATGAATTGTTTACGTATATCACAATTGTTTATGTATCAATCAAAATTAAAGGAGACACAATTTATGTTGTGACGTAGATGATAACACAGTTTATGGCTTGTTCAACAACAACAAGAGGCCTTCCGAGGAAATTCCATTTGAAGCATTTGAGTTTGGAAGTGATGCTGAGGATGATGAAGTACAAGAATTGAGGGAGAAGGTACAGACTGTGAATGATAGATTGAAGAAAGGGATACCCATCCCATACGGTGATAGTCAATTCTACTTCTCAGATTCAGATTTAGATCCAGATTATGAAGAACATGAAAATGAGGGAAGCTCCGAGGGGTTCAATTCTGATGAAGTTGGGAGCTATGAGGACATTGATCTAGAAGATGAAACTGCAGATCATGGTGTTCGGAAGAAATCAAGGTTTCCCCAATATTGTAAGGATACAGACAAACCGTTCTTTGAGCTTGGGATGGTGTTCACTAATATACGCGAGGTAAGAGCAGCAGCGAACAAGCATTCCATAACAGAATGCAAGGATCTGAAGTTTAAAAAGAATGAGGCTAAGCGATTCAGAGCAGTATGCAGGTTCAAAGGGTGTCAGTTTTTGTTCTTTGTCTCTTATGATAGGTCCATAAATCGACTACAACTGAAGACGCTAACTGAGCATACTTGTTCTCAACATTGGAGGAATAGTAGGGTTAGAGCTGAATTCATTGCAATGAAGTATAAGAGAACCATTAGGTGTAATCCCCGATGGAAGCTTAGGGAAATGCGGGCAACGATCAGGGAGGATATTGGCACGGATGTGTACCAATCTATTTGTGCAAGGGCAAAGAAACTAGTGCTTCAGAAGACTCAAGGGTGCTATGTAGATGAGTTTGGTCTTCTTTGGACATATGCCGAGGAGATGAGAAAAGCAGATCCTGGAACAACAGTTAAGATCAAGGTCGATCGTCTCAGGACTGTTGAGTATGACTCTTTCTTATGTCGAATTGTGACTTGTGGGAATTATGAGTATGAGGTGAACCATGGTGACGAAAGATACAAACTGAGACTTGGAGCTGAGACGTGTTCATGCAGAGCTTGGGATTTGAGTGGGATCCCTTGTCCCCATGCTATCACGTGTCTTGTGTATGAGGGTAAAGATCCTGTGGATTACATTTCCAACTGGTACTCTGTGGCCAAGTACAACGCCACTTACTCGAACACCATGTCAGGGATGGATGGACCAAGACAGTGGGTGCCAGTTAATTTGGATCCGATTCAGCCACCCCCATTCAGAGCAATGCCTGGCAGGCCAAAAAAGAAGAGAAGGCTTTCCGCTGATGAAATCTTGCAGAAAGACAAGAAAAACCCTCACAAGTTAAGCAGGGTGAATCGGATCATCTTTTGTTCAAAATTCAAACAATCTGGGCACAACTCACGTACTTGCCCAACAAAGAATGCTCCACCAGTGGTAAGTTTAAGTGAATTAAGTTCATTTGAATGGATGTACTGTGAGGATTTGTTTTAAGTACTACATGTCTTTGTTAAGTTACAGTTGAAGAGTTCGGCATAGGATAACAAGAATAGCACCAATGTGTTTAGCATAGTGTTTAAGTGTTTTTTTCACATACTTAATTCATTTTCAGGCTTGTGCAACTTCTGTTAGAGCATCGCAAGGACCTACTGGAAGAGGAAGAGGAAGAGGGAGAGGGAGAGGGAGAGGAAGCAGTAGGGGAAGGGGGAGATGAAGATGGTTACGTACTATTCTAGTGACTGAATATTATATAGTCTCATTGTCAGCTTTTTCTTCACATATTTCCTTGTCCTCTTACGAATATGAATGTCTGGTAGTGGGATTTTATATTGAGCTACAATTCAACTTGCAAGAAACTCCAGGAAACAAGCATATATTAATGTGACCTATTTCCCATTTCAACTTCTTTGATAAATATATAATTTTTTTATATTGTGATATACATTTGGCAGTGAGGTATTGCTTTATATCAATTGTGATAAAGGAAACATAAGTGGGGATCGTTCATGGGAGTTATGGGTAATTTTTTTTTTTGTAATAGACGTGAGTTAAATTAATTTGGGGGTAAAATGGTCACTTAGGGGATTTTTATGCTGACTGGGTGCTTAGTCAGCGCCAAATCAGCAGCTAATGACCCAATTTAACGGAACTTTAACGGCCTGGTAACAGTAGGGATTTCGTTAGGAAAATTTTAATAAATCAGGGGCTACCATAGGAAAAATAATAGTTCAGGGACTTCAGTAGAAAACACCTTATAGTTTAGGGGCCACATATGCATTTAACTCGCGAGAGTAATTATAAGCATATGACATAGTAGTAAATAACTAAATACGTAGATTTCCAATACTTGATTGCAGTTAAAATTTCGTAATTATTATTGTGATGGAAAGTTAATTCTGTTGGAGAATGGTAGTGTTTTGTGGCACAACTGTCATGTCAATTTGGTTGATCAGACAGTTATGATACTCGAGGTTATTTTAACTTCAACAAACAATTTTTCAAGATAAATAAATTATTAAAAATATCACACTATTGTAGATACAAATATTGAAAACTTCTAAAGCAAAGATTGTTCTCACTATCTACCATTCCTGACTTGAACATACATGCTTCACATTTTTTTTAATCATAAGGACAAACAAATAATTCTTGCTCTAAGGTACTTGCGGTAGCTAGTAGTACCATATATTTGCGAGTGCCGGAAATCTGAATGAGGTGGTCAAAATATTTACGCTTGACGAATTTGAAAGATTGTCATTGGGGAGGGAGCCAGAGCATTACCAAGTAGCATATTTTCCTATCTTGTTATAAATTTTACATATAAATTTATCTTCATTTGAAAGTTGAAGGGGCAAACTCAGATTCTCCTAGCTTGTCTCCTCTATCAAAGTGACCTGCCTTCGGCCGAAAACCAGTTTGAAAAAAGTAAAATCTGTCCGGTTGGAGATGTGGACAACATTGATCGAATTGCTGAGATTTTAGGCTGTGATTGGAGTTTCCTATACACTGAATATCTGGGTTTCCCGCTTGGAGCCTCCCCTTCTTCGGTCCCAGTTTGGAACAAAGTTATAAATAGGGTAGAGTGTCGCCTAGCTGGTTGGAAAAGGAACTATCTCTCACTCGGGGGCAGAATTACTCTATGCAAGGCAGTGTTATCTAGTCAGCCCATTCATATGTTCAGTTTATTTAGGGCCCCGGTTTCGGTTATTAATCGTCTTGAGAAGGTGCAGCGTGACTTTATTTGGTCGGGTTCTCTTGGTGTCGGGAAATCTCATCTGGTTGCCTGGGATGTTTGTAAAGGGCCTAAGAAACTTGGCGGACTTGGTATTGCCGACCTCAAGTTAAGAAATCAGGCACTTCTATGTAAATGGTGGTGGAGATTTGCTCTTGAAAGAGGAGCTCAGTGGCGAGAACTTATTAGCCTTAAGTACCCAAATTCTCGGTCTGAGTGGATGTCAGGTCCGGCTAATGGCCCTGCCGGCACTAGTCCGTGGACACAAATCCTAAAGCTGGGGGATGTGTTTTGGAAATTCGCTCGGGTCGAACCAGGTTCTGGGATTGGAACGTCCTTCTGGCATGATGTGTGGTTCCACGGTCGAGCTCTTGCCCGGGACTTTCCGCGGGTGGCTGCTGCATCTGCTTCGCCGGACTGCTGGATCACCGATGTGGTTAGGATTGGTAGTGAGGGTTTTTCTTGGGAAATACCACTTACTCATAATTTGCGAGGGGGGGCTGAGAGAGAGCGTGAGAACCTCTTGTTGAGTCTTAGCAATATGTCCGCTAACCATATTTTTGCAGGTCCGGCGCGACTAGTTTGGGAGCCTGCTCCTGCTGCCGGTTTCAGTACTCGATCACTTTATGGAGAGCTCATCAAGGCGAACAGATCCATGGCGGTTAACTTCCCTGCCAAGGTGATCTGGCAGAATACTATCCCCCACAAAGTTTGTGTTTTCTTGTGGATTGTTTTCCAGAAGAAGATCCTTACACATGATACTCTTAAGCGGAGAGGTTGGTCCTTTCCAAGTCGTTGTGTGCTGTGTGGCGAAGATGAAGAGACGATTCACCATCTCTTCCTCTTATGTCGTTTCTCTCGCGAAGTGTGGAAGGGGATGAGCACTTTTGTTCCGATTCAAGATCAGTCCCAAGACATTGTCAATACCATCAGATCATGGCGCTGCAGTGTTGCCTCCAATCCGCAGGAGTGGTGCGCGAACATCTTCTTACATGCTTTCTGTTGGCGGATTTGGCTGGAGAGGAATGCTCGGATCTTTAGAGATGACTATTGTTCCATTCGAGGAACTTGCTTTAGAATCATTTGCAGCATTCATGACTGGCTTTGCGCCTCGAGCAGGGTCGACAGAGCTGTTGCTGACCAGTGGCGGTGCTTGGCCAAGGATCGGCTCTTCCCGAGCTCCCTTGCGGCTGGTGACGAGGGTTCTGATCGGCTTTCTTTGACTGGATTTCAGTGACGTTGCTTTTGCTTGGTCCCTGTTACCTCGCGCTCGTTTGTATCCTGTTCTCTCTGCTGATTGCCTTCTGGTTGTTTCTTTGCTGCAGTTTTGACCTTGGTCGCTGTATGTTTGGCTTCCTAGAGCAGGGTTTCCTTTTTTCTCCTGTTCCTTACCTTCTTTGTAACTACTTCGTTTATTATTTAATCTATATCAACATTATCAAAAAAAAAAAAAAGAAAGTTGAAGGGGCTATAGCCCCTCCTAGCTAGACACAACATGGCTCTTCCACTGATCCCGACAGTGAAGATTCGATTTCTATCTACGCAAATAAGAGTCATTTTGTGACCAACCATTTACCGCTTTATGCGATCACCCCCATAGTGACAGGTTAGTCATCTAATTTCTACATATTAACACACATAATGATTTTTCATTAGAAAACAAAGGACAAATGATTATCTCTTCTAGCTTTCTGTTTCCTGCACTGCAAATTTGAACAGAGGGGCGTGAGAGGCAGTTTGGCCGGTTTGTTCCCTTCAACAGGGGTGCACAAGGGACATGTTATGTAGGAGCCATCTAGAATGAGCCCTAATTCCTTCAAATATAATTACTTATTTAAATCTATGCCCTAGAACTGGACTAATCGCCATAATCATTACTCTGATTATGTACACCACGCGGGTCAACACTCTACGATATTAATTACTTGCTGCTGCTGTTCCGGTGCCTGGGAATTGATTTCGATTTATATTTAATTACTGCACTTTTCCATTAATGTTAAACATTGCACTCCTTCACCGCATGATAATATTCTACACTAATTATTAGCGTAGGAGATATATAATAGTGATATATGAAATGTGACACCTTCTGGCTTCTGCACAGAGAGTGACAAGGAATCCTTTTTGTCATTATTATGGATCCATTGAATTGAATGCCACCTAGAGAGAATAATGTTTGTTGCCACACAACAATAGAGAAGAAAAGTATTACTTTTCGTCCGATTAGACCATGGGAGAAAATTTGGTCCACAAGAGGCAGCAAAGCAAAGACGACTGTTAAACACCTAAAACTAGAAAAATGAAGAGGTAGGACTCCTATTCGAAGTATTGCTTAAGGTGTTAGATGGTGAAAATCTGGAGTATAAGAGCTCTGTTAATGAGAGGCAGATTGGTGAAAAAATCTCAAAATACACATATTTTTACAAAAATTCCCAAAGTACACTTGTTTTATGAAAAATTCTCAAAATACACATGTTTGGGCGTTATTGTGGTCATCAAGCGGTGAATGCCTGACCTAACACTGAACTTTCAAACGAATGTAACTTTGCGCTCGGATATCCGATTTTAGCGAATTTTTTTGATTCCGCATAACTTTTTAAGATCTTTCAATCCGCAACAAGATTTCATCCCAAAAAAAATATTGTTTGCTACCCCGAACGAGCAATTTTTCGATTTTAAAAACTTTGGAATGCTATTACTTTGTGCTCCGCAATCCGAATATCATGAAACTTTTTCGGATTTCACATAACTTTTTAAGAACTATAACTTTGATCATAACCATAATTTTGGAATGTATGTGGATTTGTGAAAAGTAAAGGCAAAGTTATTCCCAAAATCCCGTATGCCAAAAAGCAAATTTCAAAATTCTTTCCTAGTAAAAGTTTTTGTTCTTAAAAATTTATGCACAATCAAAAAATGTTTCATGATATTCGGATTGCGGATAGGGATGGCAATCAAACCCATGGCCGCGGGTACCCGACCGCCCCATACCCAATCAACGCGGGGAATCCCCGCTTTGACCGGGTATGGGGCGGGTATGGGTAAAACCCGCAAAAGGTTTGATGGGTATGGGGCGGGTATGGTTTTAGCCTCCCCCGCCCCATACCCATACCCATACCCGCCCCACCAAGAGAATTTCTTCACATATCAAAAAATACGTGGATTAAATTGTAATATATCAATGATGATGATGATAACTCGAGAAAATAAATAGTAGAAATGCAATTGAGTAACCACCTTAATCAAAACCTAATTCATTTCCCTCAATTCTCCTTCCACTCTTTCACTTTCCCCCTTGTCAACAAAATTATGTTAGTTAATTATTACTTAGTAAATGTATCAAGAGTTAGAGCATAATAATTTAAAAAATATTATAGTCTATATTATGTATTAATGGATGTTTTAGGATCATATTCTTTGAATCGTATTTAGAAAATGACCGTGTTTTGTTGACTTCGTGATATAATAGGTTTGTTTATGGTTATAATTAAAACTTTTCTTGTAAGTTTTAGGTATAATAATGTTGGATGTACGGGGATGGGTATTACCCATGGGTACCCGAAACCCACGGGTATGGGGATGGGTTTGCAAAACATTACCCCGCATGGGTATGGGGCGGGTATGGGTTTGGGTATTTAAAGATGGGGATGGGAATGGTTTAGGCAAACCCG